CAAATAAAAGTAGCTACCAAAAACAAGGAGTAAAGTGTCAAGTCAAAACTCCAAGTATCCAGAGTTCCCAACAGAACTGCTGCAGAACTTCTTACATCTATCATCTGTCAGTATAGAAACTGAAGTTGGTTAGGTGGTGTTTTTCTCCTATTCGGATCCTGTTAGCCTATATTAAATGCTAAAGCTCGACAGTGAGAGGTGAGAGGCAACGGCAAGGCGCTGTCTCCAATGGAACTGAATGAAATTTAACACAAAGAAAGGAACAAGCACCTCAGTGTGAATGACTGAAGTGGAACCGAGGAAAAAGCAGACTTCTTTCCTCAGACACACCAGAATAAAACTATTGCCATTGCAAAATACTCACGTATTCAAGTACTTTATTGAAGTACATGCAGCTGAATAAATGGAACTACTTCTTACCCACCTCTACTCTATTTCTGAAATCTTCTTTTGAGCACGTCCTGGTGTCTGTGTATTGTAACTGCAGCTTCCCCTCGTCCTCCCTTGGTTTACTCAAGGTCTACCTGAGTGTCAGTCAAAGACCCTGACTTTATTAGGGGCTAACCAGAGTAAACAGGCACTTTTCCCTCTCCCGGGGATTGAATTCACGCTGAGAGTGTTTGCAATCAGGCAACTGCATCTTACGCTTTGGCCAGTAGAGCCATCAATTTGTCCCCTCTTAAAGAGACCGAGATGAAAGCTCCTTCAGGGTCAGCCATTACCTAATAAGACCTTTTCGGATAAGCGAAGCGCAATGCTATCACTCATCCTTGAGGAAGAGAAGCATTTTGGCTGTAAGCGATAAGATCCCACAGCATTTAATAGGCTGAAGCACACAAACACTTCTGGACCCTTTTACAGTAAGTGCATAACTGGGCCTTTACCAAAGAAAACAGGAAAAAAGGATCTCTTCAACAGAAAAGCTCTATTGCTAAAATTTCTGTGCCTCATGTGAAAAGAAAAGGCATGGGTATCCCAAAACCTGACAAAATAATAATAATAGTCTGCAAAAGATTTTCTGAACTTTTTCATGGACGGCACAGGGCTGCTGACCTGCACTGAGGAGAGCAGAGGAGAATCCACGCTGGCAAATCGGGGTTCTGTTTTTCCCCCCCCTCCAGAAGCCAGGGAGCTGTCAAATGTTTCATAGCAGCAAGAATAGCAGGCAGACCAGGTTCAAAGGCCTGGCCAACTGAGGTTACAGGAAACAGCACAAAAGTCATTCTCATTCCAGTCAGGCTCTTGTTAGCCACCTCCTCCTCCGGCCTGTGAGGATTCTCTCTCCTCTCATTTTCATTAGCATAGGGATGGTATTGATTTGAGCTCCATGACACTGCTTCAGGTGGATTAAACCACCTGATTTTGAGTTGGCCTGCGAACCATTTGCAGCTCCCAATTGAGTAAGCATCAGCCACTGACCATGGACCATATTCAAATGCACGCCGGGTAGCAGAAACCAGCGTGGTCGTGATTGGCCTTAACAAGTAATACAACCCCACCGTGGAGATAACATGAACTCAGGATGGTGCTCCACTTGGGTTTTCACAGTGATGAGTACAAGGCTGCCAAAAAGACAGTGCAGGTCTGCCTGTTATCTGGGACTGAGCAAACCTGATCAGCCATGCTTCTGGGTCCAGTATGACCTGGTCAAGCGAGACGCACTCGCTAGGTGGATGATTCACTGCTGAGGCTAGAATGTGTGCTTAATTACGCTGTGCGCACACACATAACATCCTTGCCTCTTCTCCACCCTAATTACACAGTGCTGAGTCCAGCCAACAGGATGAGTCATTGATTTCTCCCACTGTCCGAATGTCTGGAGATGCTTGCAACTAGGCAGTGTCCATGCAGGAGGTCATCTCATTCCTAGTCCCATTCTCTCACAGTGGAGCAGGGGTCAGCCTTCAATGCTGTCCACGGCGAGGTGCCAGTTAACCACAGAGCAGCTAGACCCCAGGCCCCTGCCTTGCTCTCTCCCAGCAGCTCAATAAGAACGCCAATGTCATCGGCGCCCTGCAGGAGACAGAAGTGCTAAAACATACGAGGCCGCATTCATGCAAGACTGAGCCCAGCACAGCCATCCCTGCAGGCAGGACGGTGTGACATCAAGACAATGAGAATGGGGAGAGGGAGAGGGGCTGAGCAGAGCTTCATCCCTGTTCCATTCAGTGGTTAAAGCTAATCAATGCCACTGCTGTTAAACTGGCAGCAGTCAAAAGACCCATATCAAAATACTTCATTTTCACATTGTATACAAATCGTTCGGCACTTTCCAGGTAAACACTTGTTCCCAGGATCAGCATGAATAACATCATTGTCATATCAATACCTCAATGAGGGCATTTCTTTCTTTTTTTTTTTGAAAACACCAGCTGCCTTTTACATTTGCTCCTTCTATAGCAAAGCCTTCATGACAGCGACAATGACATCAAGGTTTTGAACCTTGAATATTAATATTGATAAGTCTATGTTAGGTAAGGACATAATCGTTCTTGCATAACTAATGCAGCCTGTCAAGAATCAAGCTTCTAATGCAGTCTGTCGAGAATTCCATATACACAAGTGTCGTTCTTCAGAAATGTTTTTTGAGTGGTCTCCGTACATTAATTCATTCTATATTAAGAGTATGTTGATTGCCACATGATTACAGCTGAGTGATGTTCTAGCTGCACATGAAGGAATGTTTCACTCAGGCAAGTCAATATGAAGAGGGCTAATTACTCTGAGACACGTTAACAGGATCACGTTCTTAAATGACATGCCGTTGCATCATTCTATTACAGCACTGTAATAGAATCTATGATAACCCAGGCAACTACAGAAAACAATCAATCACGCTCTGAAAAGACATCCAATATTCTCTTAAAGCAATTAACGGAAAACTGTAGCGATGAAAAGACATTACCCTGAACAAATGCTCAGCTGAAAGAAAGACAGCTTCATTTGACTTTAGGCGCTTCCAAATCTGAGGTGCATAATATAGAAATGTTGCTTACACTTGATCTGGGTTTGCATTCCAAAAAGTGCAAAGTAACCTGGAAGACCCAAGATACAAATACTAAGCTGCTGCAACAGGTTCTCTCCCTCCCCTACAATTACTCACAACTGAAGGCATGATTTATCTGATGCTGTCAAGAATAGTGATGTTTAGAATGACTCCATATTCCATGATTATTGCTCTGAATTGAAAGCTGCCAGAAATAGAGCACTTCTATTTGGCCTTTAGATGACTGTGCTGTTCATGTGTGTGGGTATCATCGACCTTAAATGCAAATGGGGACGTGAGAAAGAAAGTGGATCTCAGTGAGTGATTGGAAGGACGGAGTAATGACTGAATAACTTCCAGAGTAGGCTGCAGCTCTCCCTCAATCAATGCAGCGTGCTCTGCAGGGTACCTGTTAGCCTATATGTATTCAATGTAATTTGTGCAGTTAAAATTGGCAAAATACAAAATTCAGGAAGAGAAGAAATCTGGAATTACGTGGGCACGGCTTTTGTCCTGCCTCTCATACACAGGAGAACAGTGGGGTGGCTTGAAAGCGTTCGGGAAGCATTAGCTCGCCTTCAGGGGAAAATTGAAGCACAAATTAGGAGCAAATGCACGAAAGCCTCACTGGTAAACATGGCATTCGATGACTCAAGGTTTGCACAAAGCCCCCGCAGAAGCAGAAGACTGATGCTCTCACACATGCACACACAGCAGAACAGAAGACCAATGTACACACACACACACAGTAGCAGCAGCAGCAATGACTTGATCCTCCTTGTTCCCACAGCAGCAGCTTAGGAGCTACAATAAAATGACTGCATTTGTTTTTGAGTCAAGGTTTAAGGACAAGACGGGAGATATTTACGTCCAAACTTTTGGACGTTCCAAGACACGCCGTGTCAGAACTGATTTCCAAAGCAGATCTGAGTGCATGAGACAGAGGGAGTGTGCGAAGTCTCCTCAGAGAAAAGAAAAAGTATTAGCAGCCACCACAGTGATGCTCCAGCCTAGGTCTAGGTGACCTGCTAGGGGACAGAAAGAGAAGTGACACCACAGTCCTCTCCCACCTTCCAGGTTTAATTAGATAATTGACCAGTGCATGTGGAGAATGCAACAATCCATTATGCCCTTCTTTCTGCTTGTCCCCACTTAATTGCAACATGTCTTGAAGAGAAGCAACAAAGAGCAGTCGTGTCACAGCGACCACAGAGATTCACAGGTTACCTAGTTCCCTGCATTACCCTCTGAGAAAGAGAGAGCACAAAGACAAGAGGGAGGGAGGGTCTTCTGTAAAACTGCGTTAGACAATTGTGACACAGGCTTGAAGAGAATATTACTGGTGAATACTGTGACAATGTCTTTGAGGAGGCAGTTCGCAGTAATGAATCACTGTAACTAATTGGAAAAACAAAGCTGGTACTGTATTTGTGCTATACATGCTTCTGTGAATGCTTTGGATAAGGTAAGCTAAGAGAAGAAACCAGCTGAACCAGAAACACTGATGTCATTGCAGCCTTCAGGGTGTACCAGCAGTCTCTCGCCAGAAAGCAGGAGCCGGCTGCCCCCTACTGGCCTACCACTGACAAAGTGGATAATGTATTGTTATGTCCTTAACATACGTACTACACTTGTGATGAAAATGTTCTTAAAAGAAGGTTAAAAAACAAGGGCACTAAAACAGTGAAGCAATAAAAATGCTCCTGGTCTAGAAATTTGGTCACAAATGCTGACTATCTACTAAGAACTTTTAACAAACAGGAGGAGGGTTATATCAAAAACAAGTTGCAGTATGCTGATATAACACAAACTGTGCCCTAAACTGGGACAGCAAGCTGCAAATTTCCCTATGGTCTGTGCTTGTTGGCATTTATAGGTCACAGGCTTGTGGGCTTTTGATGATGACAAGTGTGGCGTCCTACACAACTGGACACAACAGGGCATGAAAAGCTTTGATCACTGAACTTGTTACTTTATCCCAAACTGCATGCAAAGAAAGCAGAAAAAAACAGTGTGTCGTTGCATCTTTATTTCCACATTTTGCATCACTAGCCAACTCAAAGGTTATATATTCTGCTTGTGTAGCAGTTATTAGACTTCGCTGTGTGTCAGGAATGTTTGGGATCCATGCTCTCTTCATCTTCTCAGCTGGAGCTCTGGCTCTCCTCTTGAGGACGAAGAGGAGGACAGAGGAGTCCAGCACAAACCATGAACCATGTGCAGAGGAGCCTGGGAGAGGACGGAATTACTGCCGTGGATTTGCTTATTTGTGATCATACACTGTAGGCCCAAAACCCAAGTCCTTGTTCCTGGCAGTCCTGAAACCTACGAGCCATTTACTGACAGATGTAACAACCTAGGAGCTTGGCCTGAAAAAGCATGCAAGAAACTTTGGAAAAAAAATGTAAAATAAATACATCCAAGATTTAAAAACAAAAAACTTCTTACAGCATTACTTTAAAAAATCTTTTCTGTCTTCTTGTCTTGTGTTATACATATATTTATATATATTTATATGTACTTGTATATTTTGCCATCACTATTTTTTTTCTCTAGCTAAAACTGCTGGAAAGACTGGGACAGAACAGCCCGTTCTGGCTGAACTAAGGATCATGCTGCAGGAACAAGAAAGGCTGAGGACTGTCCGTCTTCCCTGATAATTTTGTGCAGACAGAGCATTCCAAACACCCTCCCCTTTCACTTAATCACCCTCTTCTTTCATAATCTCTCTCTCTCTGTCGGGCAGAAGCGCCAAGAGGTTAGCAGGACAGACTGGAGGCGGAGCTCAGCATAGACTGGTAAAGTGCCCTCAGAATGATTGGAGCCAAGGAACTTCCACAGCTCTATTTCTTATCTGGGGGTGGTAAAAGAGATGGATACATGAAATACAAAATGAAAAATCAACTGTGTGTTTACAGATAATTTTTTTTTTTGTAAACAATAATAATAATAATAAAAAGTAAATCTGTGTAGTTAAAGTACAACATAAAACTACTGTTATTATTTACTATTATAACTGCAAAGTTACACGTGCATGCTCATGCTAAACATAGTGTACTGCACCTCTGCTCTCCCCAGTGTCTGCTGATGACTCTGCATGCCTTTGCCGTAACATGCTGTAATACCTGCTCTCCACCTCCTGAAAAATCAATCCAGAGTTAATAGTCCTGTCAACACGTTTCACAATTTTTCTTTCAACTTAAGCAGAGCTGTTTTGAATGTGGACAGACCTTAAGGTGGTTGAGGTTGGCCTGCAGGTCGCGCAGGTGTGTAAGGACCTGCCGGCTGAGGCGGCACATGCTTTCTACAGAGGCTGAAGAGAACCTGAGGCTGATGCCCGAGTCAGCAGCACAGCCGCGGGACAAACCCAGCTCCATCCCCCCAACCTGCACATCATCATCAGTACTGCTCTCTCCAGAACCACCATAGCCCTCCAGCACCAGATAACTGCTGTCATTCACACACACATACACACGAAAACTTAAGAAGAGCGAAAAAGGTGACAAATTCAGAAAACAATCCCCTGTAGTGGGGTCCAGCAGTTTTGTTCCTAGAAGAAATTTTACTAATTTTAACATGGTGCATTCTTATGCATTCTGAGACTAAAATACATGGGTAATTTCTGTGGAACTTAGTTAACTGAATTAAACTGAATTTAAGTACGTCATGATTCAAAAATTGTACTGTTTACTAGGTGTTAAAACTCTGTTGCAAGGTCAAAAACTCAATATGTATAAAATCTGGCAGACTTTGTGAGAGCCATCTATTATAAACAGAAGTCACTTTGCCCATTATCTGTGTTCTGTTGGCTCCAAAATGGCATGTTGTACTTGGATCCTGATGGTTGTGATGTGCTTAAGCTCTCATAGTGGTTACTGCACTCCACAGAAATCAACCAAATCAATTTCAGACATACGGACGGGTAGCTGATTATCTTGGTGGCAAACAATCATCATTTTCACATATTAACTATAGTGCCCAGCGTTTGAAGGTGGATAAGAAAGAAACCTGAATATGCGAAAAAGAAACCAACTTCACCTGTTACCAAATGTATCTCTTTTTTTCACGTTTCTGCAAAGCTACTTTAGTTCTGATTGGCCAATAAAAATGAAATACTATATCTATGGGTTGGCCAGATGAGGACCATGACCTGCTGCTTTGCTGTGTTTGGGGGAGAGAAGAGATTCTCTCTCTTAAAACTTTCTGTTGGCAGCAGATTCTTCCTTCGCACAATTAAAAAGTTATGAAATCTACAGGATTCACGAGAATGGCACACATCATTCAAAATGGTAAATTTCGCCACAGCGTGAAGACTTAATGTCTGAGAGACAGCCCTCGACTGAACCAATGGCTTTGCTGCCCCAAAAGCAGTTCATCAGCCATGGCATTTGGTGTCAAAGTTATTTCTTCAGTTTTGCAATAGACTTATGAAGCTAATGGCTACCAAGTAATGAAAGATCATAACCCACTACATAACAGTCACATTATTCATCTAATCTCAAGTAGACTTGCTTATGTGGTTTCAGACAGCATATGAAACAGTATTGTCTATAAAATGGCTAAAGCAAGTCACATGGCTAAAAACGGTAATAGTGCCTGCCTGATAACAGCATGTCATACAGTGTCAGAAACCACATAAGCAAGTTTATATGAGACTACTTACTAACTCTGTGCAATTCATACCAAACAGCCTTCAAAGAGGGACAACATAACCACTTTTTTCACTAAATAACCTCTGAAGTCTTGCGTGAACCTGTAGTCTGTGTCTTGCTCACATTAGGATCTCTGGATCTAAGCAGGTTTTCTCTATGACACAAACAAATGGCGTTTTTGAAAATCTCCTCAGTTGTGCCCTATACTTTTTTAATTTACGGTCAAAGTACTAATAATGCAGCATAAATCAAGCTACCACTCCTATGCACTAAAATAACATGGCATGAAAGTAAGTCTACTACTGTACTTCAACACTGTTACCAACACCAGCTACTTGAACTGTTGGCTGCTATTTCCAAAGCAACTTAACAACATTTGGCAGAGCTTGCTGGTTTCTGTGGGGTATTATGGTGAGGTTGCTGGTTCACAGAGAATACCAGCTTAGACCTGGAGCTCCCAATATGGGCATGACTACAACTACAAAATGACGACACGATTTCAGAGGTCTATTCCTTAAAGCTACTGGAATTAAGCTTAATTCACACATTTTATTTACATGTTATGGTGCTACTTCTCTCAGAGTTTAGTTTTAGTTCTGCAACGACAGAGTCTGTTCCCTTTAAACAAACAGGTGCTAGTAGCACCCACTCACCATAGTCCTCCGAGCCCTCGTAGAAGCCAGTGTCACCTGAAGCAGCGTCCTGTGCCCTGCAGGCCGAACGACCTGAGCTGTGCTCCACGGGTGTGCGCAGAGACGTTGTCCTGAGGAGACGCCCGCCGAGCGGCCGACCCAGTCGCTCCCCATCATCATGGGCCATGAGCTGGGTCACCAGCACCTGCTTCAGTGCAGCCACTGAGAAAGCAGATCAGAACACAAACACGTGCACAATCCTTACATCTTATGTAAGTCACAGCAAAACACTTTGCTATTCCCAGGCTTCCCTCAAGCACTCCACATCTTGAGTTTGAGACTGGTGCTTTGTTCTAGATCCCTCTGGAGCTGTGCTTGCAATGTCTCAACAACATTTTGTTGTGTACAAGGTGTAGTATTTTGCATTATTTATTTAAAAAAAAAAAAAAAGAAAAAAAAGTGTGCGTGTGTGGGTGGGCACGTGTGTCTTTTTTATGCCACTCACAGGTTTTCAGGGCTTCCTCAGCTCTGCTGGAAGAGGACAGAGAGTATGCGTCCCGGCCGTCCAGCAGCTCTGAGTCCAGATAAGAGCCTTCTTCCCGACCAGTGTCATGACTCTGCTCTTCTTCCTCAGGGTTGGAGGTGGGACTGGAGCCGTGCAGGGCAACAGACGTCCTGCCACGAACTTTATCTGAGAAAACGGACCACAGGCCAGATGCACAGTGACTGAGAATGGGAGGAGCCAGTTAGTATCATCAATGCAAAGACAGAGTGCTGAAGATACCTGAGGGCCGCATGCTGCCAGATGATGTGCGCTCTGGGCCTTTATTGGGTTTACCAACCTCCATGCTGTCTCTTTCCCCACTTAAATAAATAGACAAATAAATGAATGAATGAAAGAATGAAAGAATGAGTGAGTGTCTGAATTACTCAATATAGTGAGCCTGCAGTGAGCGGGGGGTAGGAGACTTACGCAGACTGAGGCAGAGGAATGACAGTGTGGGGTTTGGCCTTCATCACCTCTGCTCGTTGAGTGATCTGTCTCTGCCACCTGAGGGAGAGAGCGAAGCCTGTATTACTCATCCAACATGATTTCTTTCTGCTATTTTTGAATACTAAAACATGTTTTCAAATGTTTCATATTTCCATATGCTTGATCCTTACAGAAACTCAAATATCAAAACTAGTTGGAATAAACACTGCTAGTTTGTTTTTTTTTTTGTTTTTTTGTCGGGGGGGTTATTAGATGGGGAAAAAAATTAGAGATATAGATACGAAGAAAGGGACAGAGAGAGAGAGAGAGAGGGAAGAAGAGCTGGAGAAGTGAAGAAATACTTACGTTCTTTGTTCAGACACTGTCTGGGCCATCAGCTCATAGATCTGGGCTCCATTGTCCGACATGGAGAGCACAAAGAAGGATCTGTTATCTGTTTGTAGAGAGATGTGTTAACTGGTGCCATTCTTCATTCACGTATTGAGTATGTGTGTCTTGGGAAAGCTCACCTGTGGCCACAGAACGGACCAGTACAGTGCTGAGCTTGATGACAGGGCTGAAGATGTGCTGAGTGTCGACAGTGCCGGCCCGGTTCTTACTGTGGCATTTCAGAATTAGTCTCTCATCCTGCTTTTGCAACAGGACCAGGACGTCCTCCAGGAGCAGAGTGTATAACTCTGAACACACAAACACGCACATCATCACACAGATATTACTGTACTGTAGCACACGAGATCATCTCTTTGCTTTTATTTATGTAAGGTAGGGATGCACTAAAATTTCAGCCACTCAATTTTTTTTGGTTGATAATGGTCAAAAAAAGCACTGCTTTTCATGGTTTTTATTCGAGTTTTTGGACATTAAATTGATCATCTCTGTTCATGGCAAGTATCAAGAGAGGATACACCACCTAAATGCTGCTTTCGTACAGGTTTGATAACATGTGAAAGCATGACATCCACAGAATGCAGCAAAACAACAGAAGCAGAAAGGAAAGGACCTGCCATCATGCTCATGCCAACTGTAGCCAGTTTTTGAAATTGTGAAAAAATTCACAAACAACAGTAATAAAGTGCAAAGCACAACTAAAATAAATAATGGAATTCACCGTCTTGTATGACCAACTGTTCTCTGTTGTCAAGGACATAGGATGTTGTGGCACAAACTGTATCCACAAAGTAATGAAGTGTATATTATGTAAAACTGCACGCGTTTCTGAAATGCCCTTATAAATGAACTTGCCTTGTCCTACAGCACAACGAATAGTGTGTATAGTAATCTCACAGTAACCTACCAACAGTCTTGTCTTTGTTCAACTTCCAGGTCAGCGGACCTTCGTGGATCAGCTTCCTCTTGGTTAGATCCAGATTCTGATACAAAAAGAACAGTTAGAATATGTTATGTGACCTGAAATGCACAATACAGTGCATAACAAACTTGTCATCGCTGCATATATATCCGAGCTCTGATCCAAGCTTGAGTTTTAGTATGGCTGACCTTAAATTCGGAGATGAGTGGATTCTCACTCTGCTTCAGTGAGGAGAGGTCCAGGCGTCTCTGGTAGTCCTCCAGCCGCTGAATAATACATACAACCACACAAACAAAAGATTTTACCAGTGACACATCAGATACACTCAGCATACTGAAAAAGTGTCATTGCATCACCTCATGAGATGATCATGAAAAATGCATGGAATTTAAAAATAAGCTCAACAAAGAAAATAAAAAACAAGAATGCATTCACTGAGCCTTTTTACACAACTGCACAAAGGTCTGAATGGTATGGGAATGGGAGAAGTCAGTGAATTCCTTTATATAAAGGTGATGCAAGAACAGATGCCCAGTTTCATTCAGACCAATGTCTGCTGCAATTGGAAACCACAGTGGAGACACAATTCAGGGTTAATCTGAGGTTACAAACTGACTGTGTCATCATGTATTTGGTAAGTAAGGAGAGAATGGCAGCTCAATCAGGACAAATTGCTTACCTGTGTATTCTCTGACTCTTTCACTGCCTGGTTTACGTGGTTCAAGATCTTCCGACAGCAATCAGCCGCCCTCCTCACCTTGTCTTTCTCCTCAATGTCATCTGCAGGCAAACAGGCACACACACTGAAACACGAGATAGATGTGGTGTCCAAGAAGAAACAGGCGAGCCAAATGGCTCATATTTCCCTAGTGCATGAACAGATTGCTACAACAGAGTCCATTCCCAGGCTAAGACAAATAAGAGGGCATTAGCTCTCCTTAATTGCAGGATATATTTTATGTTCATTTTGGTTCTTTCGGAATGTCAAGTGAGCCAAGATTAAACGAGCTGGGCCAAATGCTCCAAACCGTTCTCCCAAAACGTATATTATGCCTTTTCTGAAAAATTTGGAAACGATAATCTCTGTTTAAGAAGAGTCCAGCTGTAATTCGGTAACGGTTAGCTAACATCCAGAATTGGCCCCCTGAATAAGCCTTCATTACTGTGAGCTGGGGTGGAAATGGCTGAGCCTCTGCAGGCTCCCGCTTGAGCTGGGATGGGTCAGGAGCGTCCTCTGGCAGCCCTTGCTGAAGCCGCCACAGCAGGGCACGTGGGCTGAACAGCACAGCAGCAGGCCAGAGGAAGGACGGAGCCTTCACTGACGCTGATCTCACCACGTTATACCACCAGAGGAGCACTCAGATAGCACAGGGTGCCAGACTGGGTGAGAATGAGGAATTGTATGAGAGCGCACGTGAGAGAAAGAGAGATCACTGCATGTGTGTATGCTGGTGAGAAGAACGAACGTGTGAGTGCGCACTAGATCAATATTCCATACACATGTCTGAGTAAGAACAACAGTGAGAGAGAGATCATTAAATGCGAGTACAGGTGAGAAGACTGTGTGCACTAGATCATTTGTCTGTGCAATAAGACATCTGTGAATGCATTATATCACTATTTGTGTGTATTAGGTTTTAAAAAAAAAAGTGCAGGTGTGGCTGTGTCTACCCATACATTACTGTACATGTGTAAGAAAGTAAAAAGCATGCATGGCATGTGTGTGTGACAGCTGCTGATACCAGCAAAACTAACTGCTTAACTGCAAAGAGCATTGAAAAGAATAAAGGCCAAGTCACAGTCGAGTTTGCTTGCGGATTTTCAAGAGCAAAATTCACTCATTTCAATGTATTCAATGGTATTTGCTACAATGACCAATTAAGCATTAAAGAATTCAACCTTGGTGAACTTTGCCAGGCCAATTAATGTCTTTAAACAATACCGCTTTTAATCTGAATGTGCTAACCTCCAGAACTGGTAAGTAACGAAGTACAAGTACTTTGGTACTGTACTTATGTAATTTTTTAGGTATCTGTAATTTACTTCAGCATTTCTGTCAGTTAATACTTTTTACTTTTACTCACTAGATTTTAAAGGAAAGATCTGTAATTTTAACTCACTACATTTTCAAAACACGGTTGTGATTTTACCTTTAACAATATTTTTATTTTTTTTTATCCACATATTTATGCATTTCTTTAATCAAGCAATTGTATAAGGGCACCTAATGAAGCTCAAATCGGCTCCCTACTGGATGTAAAGGGGGGTGGGAGCGGGAAAAAAAGCAGAGTGAACCCATGATTGGCTACTTTCATGGCTTACAGGTCCCAGCAGTGAGCACTCGGGGGGAAAAAAGGAAGAAAAAAATAAAACAGATGAGACAACGGAATCTATAGAAAGTGACAACGTCGAGCCAGCGTTTAACACAGGCAATGCATCTGAAAAAAACTGCATCCATGGGCTTACTCAGTGCCAAAGTGGGTGATAGCGAGAGTTGGGAGAATTCCCCTTGGGCCGATAGTGTTTTTGGTTGGTTACTGTGACCTAATGAATAAACTCACAACACAAGAACGCTCAAACTGTAAATGTGACATCCAACTGTATATCTGTAGTAATTTAAGGGTTAAATCAGCAGCTGCCATCTCAAGTGATACAGCCCCAGTTTACTGTAATGGAGACTCATACAGTGGATAGAGACTAGATGTAGCAGTACATTAAATAATGTAGCAGTTACATTCTGATGCCTGTACGGACATTACTTCAATGAATGATTTTGAATGAAAGCCACATATTAATTTTAGACTCGCTTAGGAGTGCCCTCTTGTGTCTGACAAACCCAGAAGACATTATAGTGGCAATTCTCCTGAATTCAAATTCTATGACTGAACCTCCAAAGCAAAGGAAATACATAGAGGATTCAAGAATTTGTTCAGGCAGCTGCCCAGTCTTTCTTCACCCTATTGACTTGAATAGGCACGCACCATCTTAGTTTACCCCATACATATATGGGTATGTATAGGGGTGGGTGTGTGTGTGTGTGTGTGTGTGTGTGTGTGAAAGAAACAAAGTAAACAAACGCAGAGTAAAAGAAATTCTGCTATTGCCTTACTATTGTTGCGTAATGCTGCAACCAGTACTTCCAGCAGAAAAAATGTGGAAATGTGAAAAGGGCCTTTGGCCCTGCTATTTTGGCTGTGTTGACCTCCGAAGGGACAGGGCTTCACATAGCAGCCCTGAACCTCTAAAACAGATGAAACACTGATTTGACCAGCACATTTCTTCCCCACTGGCTATAAGTAAACACATGAAAGTGAGACTGCATGATGTGTAGTCAGTCAGGAAACTGTATTAATGTCTTTAATTTTGGTTTGCAGCCCTTGTGTTAGACGAGTTAGCCAGCCTGCTAACTGTGATGTTAGCAACGACTAAGCACAGCTGCATGCAATTCACACCTACCACTGTCCGCACCATTGCTTTTGCTATGCATCAGTGTGTACCACTACACTGTGCCAAGTATATAGTTATCTGATATAACTATGTTCACTTCCGGTTTTACTGTTTATTGAAGGCTAGTTAGCCAGCTTGTTAACTTCTATGTTAGCTCCTTGTCTAATTACAGCTGTACACAAGTCATGTCTGGCATGTACATTTTTTTTTGTACAGCACTGCACTCCCACAATTATGTAATTCTTAATGTTACATGCTGGGATATAATTAGGGTCACATTTGTGTCATTACTGTTTATGGTTAGTCAGCTAGCTCTCTAAATGCATTCATGGGTCACCAATCTTCTGGACTAGCTTTGGTTATGCCCATTTTGCAAGGTGACATGAACTGCCAAGGCCTGAAACATACTTCACTCAAGTACGTGAACACAAATGCTTTGAGCAATGGAAACTGTTTCGCATGCTGTTGTGTTTAAAAACGTGCTTTCTGCTGCCCAACTGTCTTGACTGACTGGCAGTTTGACGAGTCTCTTACAGAACTGATTTCCTTTCATAATACAAAATTGATATATAATTGCTTCTTCATTCTAAAAGAACAAATTAAGCACCACACACTCCTCTACTGTCACACATTTACACATGTACATTTAGTAGTTGTGACTGTTGGAATAGCAGCAGACTCTTTTCACAGATGCTCATATATGTCTTCTATCACCTCCTTGAGTACTGAGTGTTTCAACTGCCACAGTAACCTAAGAACACACATTTTTTACAGTTTGTACAGCAGGACCAGGTGTTTTTAAAGCACTGTCCATGCACTGTCAATTGTGTTTGCACACTTACTTTACATATACTTCTGGGTTAAGACCTTGGACCATGACAATCAAACCATATGTTAGTTAAGTTAGCAGTATTAGTCAAACCAGTAGCAAATCGTTGGTGTGGATCTAAGTGTAGTTAGCGTATACTAGAGAAATTTGTCAAGTAAAAGTGTATGAGCGCCAGTATGTTAGATCACCATAGGTATGTCTGTGTAAATAAAGTGAGTATAGATGTAGAGGTTTTCTGTGTATATACACTGCATGAGTGCACATGTATGGATCATTCTACCAAATTGGTTTAAAGTCAGAGTTAAAAAAAAACACATTATGCTTATTAATTATGTAATTATGCTTATTTCATTAAAATAAATGATTAAAGATTCTATTTGCTATAGCTAATTTTGAGCATAACTCAAATACTTGTTAGTATATGACTAAAAAATACAGCCTTGAACAAGTGTACTCACATAAAAATCATTATATTTTTATTACAACACAATAAAAGTTTACTTTATTGCAGAAAATGTGTTTCAGACATGACTATTCTTAAATGTTACACAATGATTTTTAGACTTTGGGAAACATTTACTTCAAAACAATGGGATCTAACGGCTCATCATGTGGCCATGAGGGCTCTAAAATATAGGGTTCTGGTAAAGCTTTGCCTATGGACTGAAACTCAGTTTTGGTAGTGACATGAAACGGGTTAAGCATGGGATAGCATTTTTTGACAACACAACTAACTAAATAAATAAATCTTAAATAAATAATCTAAATCCTTCGACTTCACTTTAAATGAAATAAAGATATGGAAAAAAATATTTTCACAAGTTGAAATTTAGTGGTTAGGGTTTGGGGCAGCCACCTTCCAACAGAAAGTACACTGTAAATGATGATCTTGTATATATTTAGCTTATAACTATCTCAAGTAATGCTTTGCATTAAAGTATGTCAATTCATAAGCCTTGTAAACATCTAAGGTTTAAGGTTTACTTAATTTTTTTAAAAAGTTTTTTTTATTATGGGACCGTAGCTTCAACTAATTTGGAGAGCTCCATATATGAATGAAAACGTGTGTGACAGGTGTTGGTACCGGTGTACTTGGCGATATTCTCCAGCAGCAATGGGTACTTAGTGAGTCTCTGCATCTCGGCCGGAATGATGTCCTTCAGCTGCAGCCTCCGACACAACCGATTACTCTCCGCCTCCTGCAGACAGAACACACAATGGCACAATGGCACTCAGGACAGCGCATGCTAATGGATGACAAAACCCCACGCCAACCCACGTCACACCTCCTGCTCTGCCGAGTGCCTCTGGCATCTCATAATGAAACTTAAACGCGCTTCTCGTCCTTCACTCAAGGAGGACTCTTCTGCGAGTACGTCTCAGTGATACTTCTGCACTGGCGTAGCTGGCACACAGTCAAAATGGCATTGGTGAAAGACGCACAGACGCCCTGTATTTCAAGCTGTCACTGTTAGTGATGCTCCTCTGAACAGTTATATAGGCAAAAAGTGCTTCAGTGACAAAACGCACAGATCTATAAAAACACTATGCATTTAAGGCGTTATTTTGTACTGTAGAGATAAAAATTAAGGTGATTGCTGGAACATTCGAGCTGGATTAGTTTTACCAGGGGAGGTGCTGTAATTTGAGTTACTACTGATAAGATCTGTGATTTTCATACTGTGACGTCCATAGTTTTTATAAGTCATCTAAGTAATAATTCCAGCACAAATTACCTTCCACTCACAGAATTCCTCACACTCGACACTCCTTCAGTAATAGAAGTCCTGTTCGAACTGACTTCATGGTAATGTAATAGCCAATGCTAGTGACTGACATCGGCCCCTCCGTTTTTTTTAGCGATTGGGAGACAAGGCTAACCACTAAAATAGAGCTCCTGGCATGGTTCCTTTATCCTCAAGTTTAAAACAGGTTTCAAACATTTTTGGTCTTACCTATATGTAAAGGTGCTTTTCACAGGACAGAGGAATTTTGAACCGGTTGGGTAACAGTTGTTAAATGAAGTACACCTTAGTGCTATTCTACGTGGTATTAACTGGAAATCGCGTATTGTTGTTTGTTTATTTGAATCTGTTAAATTCTAATCTTAAAAGCGACATGAACATCTGGACTACAGCGTTTTGATTGGGGCTATCTGGGGTAATACTCACCTTACCAGCTTACCAGACCTCCTCAGATAAAACTAATCCAGCTTGGATAAGGCATAAGGGGTGCACTAACACTTGGCAGGTTTGAACAAACACATTTTTAAACCATTTTTAAAACAAATCCTGGTGTGATTACTTGGTGGGTTTGATTTGTTAGAAGAAGCCACTCGAACTCTGGTGCAGGCAAAATAAGTGGACTGAGACCAGTTTTCTCAGGGACTGACCTAAACTGATGTGGTTCAGTTAAAGCATAATTGGACCATACACAGAATGAACTGTCCTCTTCTCTCTGTAGACATTCTTTGGTACATGGAACAGATGACTTTCTGACACTGTTTTGATATGTGCATGCAACTCTTTATGAGCTTTGAATCAGTAGTTAACAATCAAACTCATAGCTTTGTTTTTAAAATGAGGGTGGGGCAGGTTCCAAGTCCTTCTCAATATACACACATTTGACAGCGCACACACATACAAGGATTAAGCCACTCAAGGCAGCATGTTACGGTCATTTTACTCCACTTCACATTGTGGCAAAATCGCAGGAACACACATTTTTTCCTGTGGATTATAATAGGATGATACGCCCATAAAAACCAACAATCACAGATAAATCAACGGTTCAGAGAGTTGGCTATTCTCCCAGTTGTGGTCGCAAAATGTGCATTATAAAATCTGTCTGGTGATTTTTTGTTCATATAACTTTCGTTTACAGCCTTGTAAACAAATATGTCAAATATGTCAGTGTGAATACTAATTGAAGCAGAATAAAAATGCAACAGTGCATCATTTTCTGCTTTGGTCCAGATCAATGGAACCGAACAACAAATATAAACGCATTCTAACACTCATTTCTGGATGAAGATGTAGAGCACGACAGATGGTATTATGGTGCTCTATCTATTGGCTTGTACCAGATTCATGAAGTCAAAGCTAATAAGCCAAAAGAGAAAACCGTGTTTTCTGCACAATGCACAGAAGAACAGAATTTGCATGTCAAGCAAAAAGATCCTTGTTTTTATTTTCCTTGCATATCAATTGAATAAAACACTCTGCACAGCTAGACAGAGCAAGAACAAACATCATTTATTCACCATCCATGCTGCTCAATACTAAATAACAAAAGGCATGTCTGAACCTGATCTATGTGTTGTGCAGAATCAACTTTCTTTTGTTCTTCATCAAGGTCAAACAACCTGGGTTGTTTCAGGTTTTCGCTTTCTGTACAATTTTCTGAAAAGAGCCCTGCTGTCTGTCCTGATTCTCTCAGCTTCATGATGCACCAGGCTCCTTTCACTCCACTGACTCGTTCATTACAACCCACCAGGCTGGAGCTGGAACTAGACCCAGGGTCAGAGGGGCTTCTGCTCACCTGCATGAAGGTGATGAAACGTTGGTCCTTCTTCTGCCGGCTCTTGATGAGCTCCAGAGCAAAGGGCTGGTTGCTGCAAAAGGTTCCTACTGCCCGCTTCATCTTCTCCTCCTCTCCACCACTGAACTGGAAGAGAAAAGCAAGCCAGATGAAACAGCAGAGGTCACAATACCGGGGTAGCATTGAGAGACTGGTACCATGGTACATAGGCATGGTTTTTCATTATTCAACTTCATTCTAGTATTTACTTAATTGGTGATTTAAAAAATGCATGCGTAATTTGGAATAAAGAATAAATGAAAAATGAAACAAATTTGATATTATCTTGTAGGTTTTTGGCCAAGTGTAATGAGACTCACGTCAAATGAAATACCTACATCCACTTGGAATTACATTTGGAAATATTAAAAAAAAACAAAAAAAAACATTTGTACAGTGTAAGTTACCACCCAGAAATCACCTGAACGATCAGGTATGGATCATCTCTTTATGCCAGCTGCAGGTGATAACTCAATATTAAACTCTCTGCTTTTCAATCATAATAATACGAAGATGATTCTCACTGGGATATTCAAACACCATTTGTTTAAAAAGTGGATATCTGAATAGCGGTTCAAATGATGGTCCCCATCCTTAGTTGCTGCAGTTTAAACAACCTCATCCACCACCCACTGCCCTCTCCTCTAGAACATGGAAGAGACGGGTTTGTCTGCATTCCCTCATGTACTACCTGTCAACAACTGTAACTTGTTAAGATGCCACTTACCCAAGACAGCAAATCATCTCCAATTTGGTCAACAACTGATGACTCATTTCTCTTGCGTATGCCTGCCATCTGCTCCGATATTGTCACTGAAATTTAGTACAGAAGATTATATGGAACTATTAGTCTCAATGGATATAGAGAAAAACAAATGACGTGCATTGCAAGCACACATACCATGGAGCTGGATGATCTCCTCAAGGTTGGTGAAGATGTTTTTGATGTCAGCAGGGGGCAGTATATTGTCTCGGGTCAGTTTTTGGTAGAAGACATTATCCAGGACTTTCAGCATGCGTACATGTGCACGCTCGGTGTAGAACAGTTCTGTGGAGATTCATAATGTAAATAAATTATTTTCTCATCCTAAAAGGCTACCACTATCAATTAAACAGTCATCTAGTAATCTACTGGTTATTTTTTACAATTATTCAAGTTATGATTTTAAAGCAAGGCTAAACAATAAGAAATTAATAACAAACCATACACAGGCTTTGCATAACCAGAAAGGCATTAAAATGTGTCATTAATAATTTACTGGAAAAATATAAACTACAAAGCCTCTAAAAAGGCATTATAAAATATATAAAAACAGTACATGGCAAAAACAATACATGCAAATAAGTGTGTCCATCAGCCTTAAGTTCTTACAGTACAAGAGAGCAATTATTTACAGTGGTGACAAAAGAAACCAGACATCTGAAGTATTCAAAGCCTCCAAAAAAGCCTATGCAAAAAAATTGAACATTTAATAGAAGGTCCCTTTAACATCAAGCAAACTGCCATCTAATCACTGATGATTATTCGATAAGCTAAATTTTAAACCATTGTTTATAGCAAATGAATCCTAAGAATGTGAGAATTCTCAATGCCTTTAAACTCTGTGTTCTCTTCACAATTCGTCAAGCCCTACTGTTCTGCCGTGAGACACTACCGTTAATGACTTCCTGTCTCTTGATCTCATGAGGAGTCAGTCCAGCCAAAACCTCCCGCCCCACCAGCTGCTGCCAGTTCGGAGGATCCACATCAGAGTAAACGCTGCCACCGCCATCATCCTCACTCAGCACCTCCTCTAGCCTGAGAGAGAAAGAGGAAAGCAGATGAAGATGGAAAGGCAGAGAGAATGAGAGAGAAAATGAGGCTGAATGAGAGATGATGATGTATCCCAGACCTGGAACTAATTAGATTTGTTTATTGAGTATTTGACAGGCACGGTGGAGGTGCTTGAAAGATGAAACATTGAAACAGAGTAGAAAAGAGCATGCATCAGCCAGTACCTCCTGCTCAGCTTAGGCGTGCCCACATCCTGGAGTCTAGAAAACAGTACAGATCTATTCATTCCTCTCACACAAACAGAATCAATCAAAGCCATCTGGTCATTTACATCAATTTCACACACAGGACTTCATGCAGTGTTTTCTGCCATGCAGTACAGGAGTTTACACTTGCACAGAAGAATTGCAAATGCATGGCGGCATTAAATTAGCATCAGATGGACATGACTAAGCAAAGCTTTGACAGCAGTGCTGGAGCAGAGGGAGAATCCTGGCTGTGTACCTGTCACCATCCCTCTCCTCTTCCAGCTGCTCCAGGCTGTAGGGGATGTAATCACAGGGAGGATAAGGGCCATCCAGGCCCTCTCCTGCTTGCATACCCTCGGTCAGTCGCGAAATCACAGAGGATGGGCTCCCACCTGGAGAAAACAACAATCATCTCAAGAACCTTAAGAGTGATGCCTCAAATTACAGTATGGTGTACATGAGTACTCAAGTACCTGGTTAACCATTAACCATAAGTGGCAGTATTAAAATATGGAAATCACTTAATCTGCATCACGGAAAGTTAGCAAGAAATTACACGGAACAACAACTTAATCAAATGGCAAAAACAGATCTGTAAAGCGTTGTTTTGTTTTTTTAAAAATACTGTATATATTTACATTCCTATAAACACCAGAAAATATGCTAAAAGAAAAAGAAAACATTTATTGCTAACTTGCTTTTTTATGATTGCAGGATCCTATTAATTTATTTTATTTTTATTTACATTTTTTTAAAACTTACAGTAAAATAAAATGCTATACAATGGGCTCCTGCCCAATTCGGGGATGTACTGCAAAGCCTGCTGAGATTCTTTGAATGTGATGAGTAATGCAGGAAAGCATCATATTGTTTTAAAAAATGAAAACTACTTTTAGTTACCTCTTGCCAATGAGCGAGGGGTGACCATGTTTGAGATTTAACGTTCTTCAAGTACTTTAAGCCACTCAACAAATAATGTATACCATAATAACCACTAAGCTCTGCTGTACTCGTCTTACTGCTGGTGAAATCCAAATAAGTTTCTTTCTGCTCCAGAAAGATACCTCTCCAGCCAACAAAAAAAAACAAAAAAACAGGTAAAGGTCTAGTTTTTCGAATGGATTTTTTAATTATAGATTTTATCACAACTTTTTAAATAATCATTACAGCTTTGAATGTTAATGCATTGCATTGAGATGGCTACTGTACTTGGCTTCAGCTAGAGATACAATGTAAAGACATTTCTCAGTTTATCTCACATCAAAATTTGTCAGAATACACATAACAGCATACATCAACCTTTTTCCACACTCCAGTAGTGGAGTCCTCATGCATTACACATTTTTGTGATTTCCCTGCCGTAACATACATGGTTTAGTTCAAGAAGGACTCATCATATGACTCAGGTGCAGGTAAAACACAAAACTGAAGTGTAAGGGATGGTCTCCAGGACTGAAGCCTGCTCATGTAATAACTAGAACAGTAGTGCTCACATCCTGTAGCTAAGGATTACTCTACTGATTTGAAATAAGAGGTGCAGTATTTACCACAGTCTGAATCTCTGAAGGAAGTGTCTGAGGCAGGGCTGTAGGGGGCACTGCCTGGGGATGCAGCAATGAAAGCAGGATTCTGAGTAAAGTCGGAGCCCTCGCTAGATTGGCTGCCACGCAAACGCACACCATCTACTGGCTCACATGTTCCAATCACTGGCTGGGACAGCTGCTTCTGAGGCCTCTGCTTGCTACCGTCCACAGAACGCCCTGCTGCTTACAAACACACAGCATAAAGATACAAACTGTAAATTCTGCCTCTGAAGTTAGAGTGATTTCTAATACACCTCAACCAACAAATCATCTTGTTAGCAAGCCGTGTTAGAGCAGGGAACACAAAATGCGCAGGGGGGAACTGTTTTAGAGCCAATGGGGGGAACTACCGCTGTAGAGGATTTTTGAACCAGTCAAAACAGACATCAAGGCTCTAGCATAAAGTTTAGAAAGTTTAAAAGTTTAAAAAAAAAAAGATCAACCAGCAAAGCACTTTAGACCAAGTTGCATTATGCCTTTAAGCACTTAAGCATGTTGTCTGAGAGAATTGCTGCACTGTCAGGATTACCGAATGGAGCATCAATGCGGTTGGGCCGGAATGAGGGTCCCAGGATGTTAAAACGGGGCTTCTTCACCTTCTCCTCTCCCTCCTTCTCTGGCTTGCTGCTTTTCTGCACAGATCCAGGAAAAGAGTGATGCTTCAGGTGATCACCATGAAATCAAGAATCACGAACAAGTTTAATAACTAAAATGGAGCAAGAAGGGAAAAGAGGGGATAAGAAAAAAACATACCTTTATTTTGGGGAGAAAATTGATGCGCACACGCTTAGACTCCAGGTTGCGTTGTTCCTTGCTCCTCACACCAAGGTGCTTCATGTAGGTGAAGATCACATACTGTATTGTATTGCTGGAAAAATTCAAAGGAGCCCTTTTCAGAACATGTCCTCATTTATCTCCTCTTACTATTCAACAATTCAGAAACAGAGGCCCAGCATGGCAAACCCAGTCGAATCCGAAGCATGCTGATGTGGAGTTTCCTCATTTAGCCTGTGCACTCTGTTAGTATCAGGCCTGTTGAGCATTGCAGGCTCCATGTGGCCATCTCCTTCTGCTCCACAACCCTCCTGTCTTACTGTGCCTTCTGCCATATGTCACAATCTCGCTCTCTGCTCCTCTCTCTTGCCCTGCACGTGTCCTGTACATTCATAAATCATATGGACTACAGTGGAGCCAGATGGCAGCTCAAATATGTTTGCCTAGATTGTTCTAAATGAGCAGGGAGAGATGCAGCAAGACTGGAGCTCTCACTGAGCCGTTCAGCTAAGTTGTGCTTTGCTTACTATGCTTGTGTTTTGCCCAAAGCTAGAACATCAACACCTCTGACTTAAGCTGCTTACTCTAGATTTAAAATTTACATACATATTTGTTTATAGTTTATAACGTTTGGCACGATTTAAAGTGTTATAGTAAATGAGTCTGGTTAGTGCTTGTGCAGGAGAGACATGAAAGAGGTTATCCTCACCACTTCTCTTCTTCTGAGGCTTGCGAAGTGAACCTGTTGCAGAACACAGAGAGGTGAAAATGTGTTTAAGCAGAATCTTTAAACTGTGGTAGGCTAGCTGGACAACATGCAGCTAATAAAGGGAAATCTAAGAGACCTTTGGGAGTAGGGATGGGCAATATGACTATATTTTTCACCATCATGGAAACTTGCATCACAATACACTTTTCTAAGTATATCATGAACATTGTCATTACTAAAGAATACTGATCAACAGCATGTTTCATCACAAAAAGAGCACAACTAGTCCTGTTTCTGGATTTACTGTAGCACAGTATGTAAAACGCTGAAGAAAAATTACTGCATAAGGCACAACTGGGGATTTTTTCCCGGTTCAACCTTGTCAAACCTCAGAAATAAACAATATAAACTGTTATAAATATATTGTTCTAAATATAAATAATTGGAATTGGTGGTGTCAAAGTTCACACATTTTTACCACGATTAATGCATTTTCATGGTTTGACCCTTCAAACCATTGATAGTTCCAACTTGAAGGCCCGCTGGTCTCACGCTGTTCCTATGGGTCATTTTCATTCAAATAGAGCTTTTAAATGACAACAAGATCCACTGATGGCTCATTTGATAAAATCACAATTATTCTGAAACACGGTATAACACAGCGGTGTAACAATCGTGAAGGAGTTGGAACATGCATTCAGTGTTGCTCTCCCTGGATATCGCTGAAACTGAAAACTGAGAGCCCTAACTGTGATACATAATGTGCATCATGGAAATGTCTTCAAGGATTGTGCTTTTATATTGCCCACCCCTATCTAAGCTGCTTTAAAAAAACATGCAATTTGCCAGTGTTCTTGAAGTCTGAAAACACCCATGTTAAGCTCAGAAAAAATTGTAAATAATAATTTATCATGATATATTGTCATACCGCCCACCCCTGGTCTGAGAAAGACTAAGTGTGACCCTTACAAGACGTCATCTATCTTGGAGACAATGTTCTCGGCGCAGAATCTTTCCCTCTCCAGAGCAGCGCTGTCTCTAATTTGTTCAGAGTCCAGATGAGCCAGTTCCCCATCAGCCAGGGTCAGTCCCATATTACGCTTCTGTCTGCGCGACCACACACATACACAATTTGAAGTGCTTTCATTGCTGAAGGAGTAACATAAGTCATTTGGTAAGCTAATATTAATGTCTGTAATCTCACCTAAAGTCCTCCAGAATCTTCAGAACTTCAGGAAGAAGCGCATCCTGCATTGTCTGAACAAACTGTCTGTGCAAGTCCTCAGGAATCAGTTCTGGCCTCCGCCGTTCTATGGACAGTGCACACAAACAGAGTTGCAACCATAGTGTAAACTCATCATTTGGTCTCCTTTTGTGAGCACATGGCCCATGCTTCCAACTGGTGTAGCGTGCAAAGAGAAGCCTGAATGAGTAAGCGCTTTGTGAGCTAACATGATAATTATGCGGACAGCAAGACCCAGCGCAATTACGGCTCTTCCACGGAGGGCTGAGAAATGATTACTTAGACCGCAGTTTTAAGAAATACACAAATGCACAACATCTGAATGCATAATAGGAAAAGCTGCAGGGTAGGGAACAATCTCTCAGCGGCAAGAGATGCTTCAAGAACTTATTACAGCCAAGTAACTCACAACTCGAAAACAACTAATTACAACTGCAATCTACAATGTTTATTATCCCACATGTATTAAAAGAATTTGTAGTCTCAGTGCAAACTTACCAAGTTCAGAAGAGATGGATTCGGGCACAGCTACTTTTAAGTTCTGTTAAACAAGAAACAATTTTCAGATGAACAGGGAAAATGGCTCATATTAAATAATTAATCTGCATTGTAATTTGATATAGCTATAAAATGTCAGCAGAAGCAAGCACAGTATATTAATTCAGAAGCCAAACAGCCAAGAACAATCACAGAAGAGGTGCGCCAAATCCAGCTAAACAAACCATTCATAGCAGCAAACTCCTGCCATGTGCTTCAAGACTAATTAACACTAGATACAGATGAACTCATTCACTCAGAGTGTCTGAGAGGTTGTGGGTGAAAGCTATTAGAGCTCGAACTATTTGTCTGAACCCAAAGTGACCTGACTATTTACATCAGGGTTTGCCCAAATATTTGTTGGGCTTGGGCTGGGTTCAGATATCACATTCTCCCACCTTGAATAGTTTTTGGTCTGCTTAAGTTATTGTAAAATTAAACTTAATGCATAGCTGACAATTAGATTATTTCTTTTGATTTTGTTTATTGTTCATCTGAGAACGGCTGTCATTGTTTCTACTGGGTAACTAAACAGATTGCAAATCGCTGCTGTCCACAAAAAAAAATAGTGGTAACTTTACAGAAGAGGGCAAAAATCATCTTTACTTTTAACGTAAGTTAATCAGGTCCTACTTGACCTGAAAAAGAGTTTATTCCAAGCAATTTAGGACCTTTTGTAATGGTCCATTCATCGTGATTTTTCACACAATGTAAAGGTCACCTGCTGTGTTCAACTGATGTAGAAAAATAAAAGTTTAAAAAATAAAGAGACACGTGCTTTTGTAGTTTAATTCATTTTCTGATTGGTGGTCTAAAGTCGGGTTTGGATTCGTTAGTTGGTTCTGCGAACGTGACTGGGCCAGACCTGGGCAGAATGTTCTTAAGCTACATCTGAATTTCATGTCAGATTAAACTTCTAAAAGCTTTGGGAAAAAAATGAATCTAACTTCTCATCTGTGTCTGAGAGCAATGTAGCTTCTTGGTCTTGAGATTACTTAAGAGCAGAGAAGAAATAAGATTTAGAAGAACACGAACACGAACACACACACACACACACACACACACCTCAGGACAAAAGCTACACACGTGGGGACTGGCCGCTGCTCAGACTTGCCTCACTCAGGTAATGACACATAAGCTGTGAAGATGAGAACAGACAAGAGCAGAGATGTGAAAATGAGCTCTACTCACAGCCCCCCGGTCAATGAACAAGGTGAGAAAGTCCAAGAAGATGCGACGGGTTTCTTTGGAGTTGGTTTGCTTGTAGAGGTCAGCGTAAAGGTAACAAAGCTGAAAAAGAGAACATTAATGACACAAAATCAGAAACTAGTGTTTGTAATTGTCTCTTTGGCTATGTTCAGACTGCAGGTAAATTGGATTTGTTTCTCAAATCAGATCTTTGGAGACGACTGTCCGCACTGTTCTTTGCAAGTGATCAGATCGGATTGGTGTGTCCAGACATCACCAGTCTATCTGCATGGGTTGCTGTGGTAAGAATGTAGGTGTCAGTAACTATGTAGCTGTGCTGGTGACGTGGATTTCAAACGCAGATGCAAAAAGACGGAGGTGCATCATCTCACTCTCCAAACTCCTCAAAATTCTCTGGCATAGGCATGAATCTTTAGTGCTTCTCTTGAATCACAGCACTTCCATCACTCTGGATTTGACACTTGTTTGTTGTGTTGCGAGTGATGCAAAAGACACTATGAAACCCAACTTGAGAGTCTAGACAAAGACATCTGTAAAATCTGAATTGCATTTCAAATCACCTTCAAATGTGGTTTGGACCGATTTTCAAAAATCGGATTTCATGTGGGTTTTTGCTGTCCAGACTATCAAAAATCAGTTTGTTGTAAGTTGGGCTGGCAGTCTGAACAAGGCCTATGTGCCTCTATAGTGTCAATATAAATAAATGTAAAGACTAATGCATTTAACAACAAACGAAAGCTTGCAGGGCATAAAACCCAGCAGTTCACATGTCAACATTTCTTTTGTGGTCTGCTAACTTCCATTTAACGTTAGCTATGCTGACACTGTTGGCCAAAGTGTATTTTTGAGGTGAAGCAGTGGGGTTATTACCACAGGAGCAGGGTCGAACTGAGAGACCACATGGTGCAAGAAGGCTGCTAGGTGGGCGGGCCGGGACTTCAGCAGTTCCACACTCTGGAAACAACTACACTGGCCATTCAACTGGAACCAGAGATGAAAATGAACAAATTACATATGCTCTCATTCCAGAGTACATTTTCCCTATAAATGGTAATGTTTTGAGTATAGTTAAATCAAAATAATTTCACTCAGTTGAAATAAAGTCAAGTATAATTCAACTCTCTTTTAAATTTAATTTTAAATGTGTTAGAATACAAAAAAGTACAGTTCAACTTCAAAACAGAGTAAGCAATTAGCTAGCTAACTAATTTTAACTGAACAGCTACTTTGCTCTTTTACTATTTTCTTTGCTTTGTTGTATTAGAAAAATAAGCATAAGAGCTCATTATTAAAACTAATACGCTGTTGCTCCAGTTCTACTGCAAGTGTCTGTTAGCTAGCTAATTTAGCTAACTTAAGTTAGCAGTCAGTGCAAAGGTAATGGTTTAGCTTACGCAGTCAGTAAGCATAATGAAACCTTAAGCATGAGTAACACAAATATACATTTTAAGTGACCCAAAGTAATTGCTTTATTAAATAATTAACAATAAACTTCAGAAGAATAAAAAAATTATACAGCAGCAGTACTCTTACTTAACTAGATATTTTCACCAGGACACAGTGGCCAGACTAAAAAGCAGAAATTTAAGTAGGAGCTCCATACAGACTGTAGGGGAAGAAGGTGAAACCTACCTGCTCCTGCTCTGAATCGAAGTAGTCATCCTCAGCACCGATGATCTGAGAGGCCATGCGGAAGGAAGGACTCCCCACAGTAGAACGGAGGTGGGAGTCCTGTGAAAGGAACAGAGATATGAGCATGCTGGACTGTGAGCAGCCTGGGGAGAGGGAGAGTTTGAGTGATTGTGAGTTGTAGTGTCTGACCAGGTCAGAAGTGTCCTCTGTCTCAGGGGAAGGGCAGGAGTTGAGGCTATCACGAGGTGTGCTCTTTGGACTGCTTGAGTCTCTTTGACAAAGGCTCTCCGGTGAGGCCGGGTGGTAGCTACGCAGGACCTGTCAAACAGCAATAGCCGTGCTAAAGCATACTTATAGCAATTATCCTTCAAACAAAGAAGAATTAAAGCAGTGGTTACTAATTCCAGTCCAGGGTATCTCAAACTGTGCACATTTGTGTTTTCCTTGCTCTAAAACATCTGAATCAACTCTTTAACCAGCTAACAACCCCCTTTGTGTGCTGGGTCAGGTGTGTTTGAGTAGGGAAAACACAAAATTTCAGTGCAGGGGGTCCTGAAAGCTGGGATTTGGAACAAAGAACCTAGGTAGTGTCTTGTACACAGAGTCTTATAAATGGATGGTGATCTGTAAATAGATGATGGTATTTGCTGTAGCGAAGTCTTGCAGTATAGTATAGCATGGCCTTACGGAGCTCCAGAACCCATCTGAGGTGGTCTGGTCAACGTCCAGTACACCATCCTCACTGTCCTCCATTTGCAGGCCATCCTGGAAAACATTTTTACTGTCAATACGTGGAGAATATCTACAAAGTATGTAGACAGAACATGGCAGTATGTAAAAAGAACATTAACATTACTGGAGCACAATATCTGTAATATTGTGAGAATTGTGGGAAATGCAGTACCTGTATTACTCTGGTGAGCTGACTCTGAAGCTGTGGGATGTGTTTTTTGGCTTCTTGGATGTCCCTCAGCAGTTTGGGTGTGGGGTTCCTGCTGTATTCCTCCTTCATCTCCTACAGAAGGGTTAAAAGGTTAAAAAGGCTAGTAGGATGACAACCTTAAAACACTAGAAACCAACTATGTGTACTAAAAATAGTTAAAAAAAATGAAAAATGTAAACTAAAACAAAACTAAAAAACATCCTGAGAAACTCAATGAGCCATCACAGCTCACTGTGTGCATCAATAACATACTCCCTTATTTGCACACTCTCTGTGGACTCAAGAGGAGCTTACTAAAAGACATACTGCTTCTGATCTACTGCACTTCAGCTACCAGCTAGTCTACAACATGAAAAGCCTCATTCCTATCTGCAGAGCTAATACTATGAGCTGTGTGGCTACATATAAGTCTTTGACATAAGGCAACAGACTAGCCGCTGAACTCAGCTGAAAGGCAAAAGCAAAACAAGCAAGAGTTTCCGCTCAAGATTCAAGATTCCTTTATCAAGCTTGACTCTAAACAAATCACTGGCAGCATCCTAACCTGTAACTCTTGACGCTCTTTGGCCAGCATCCTCTGCAAGATGTCTGCTTTTAAGCTGTGCACAATGTTGTTCTCCTCCTGAAGGACCCAGTAAGCCATTCAGGGTTGGGCAGAAGGTACAAAAAGTGACAAGGAGAAGTAGATGAGAGAGGCGAATGGGTGATCCAAAAAAACAAAACAAAAAAAAAGCATTCTCCATATCAAAAAGGAGAGTGAAGTTCTTACCCATGTTACCAGTGGAGAGGAGGCACGCTTTGCAGCTTTGTACTCCAGGTTGCACGCACTTTGCCTTGGAGAGTGAGGGAACATGGCTGAGGATGCTCCATGACCCTCTACCGGCCCTAGGTTCAAATCAACCTCCGAAAGAGGGATCTGGGGTAACCCAGGGGGTCGTCCCAGTACTGTGAGGGCCACATAGGAGCCCGCTATAGGGCATAAAGACTTAAGATAAGTGTATATTACCAGTGTGTTGTTTGAAAAGTATAAAAAGCTATTTCTACATTTCAGACAAAAACAGATTTTAAAACTCACATTTGATTAACTTCACTACTTCCACGTGGTTTGAATGTGTCACCAGGGTTCCATTAACCTAAAATGGAGAGAAAAAAAAGACCAGGTAAAACCAGCCTGCATGCCCTTTAATCACGTGTTACAGTCCCTCCTCTGAGAGGACGAGAGACATAGGTAAACATGTACAGCGTACACAGCTGCAGTGACAGCACACCAGAAACTGCAACAAGCAAATTTAAAATATATATATTACCTGAACGTCTGTTACAAGATTCAAATGTTTATGTATAGCTGTATGTAGGCTAGAGCTGTACAGTATTGAACTCGTTAGCTTGATGCTAACTTAATATGGGAAAAGCCTCTGACCAGCTAACAGAAATTAGCAAAAGCTACTTACAGACTGTTTCAGGGCCAAACACAAGCATGCTGAGGTGCGAAGTGCAGGCAGATTTGTAGGCCAGTTCTGAGCCCCAAAGAGGCCTAATCTTTTCTCAAATATAATCTAATAGAATAAATATATGTAATATATATAAATGTGAATAATATATAACAATCTAATAATGTCTTGCCTTTCACCTCCTTACAATCCCAGGCTTATTACATACTAAGGTTTCTTACTATGTAATTACAGGGACTTCAATGCAATGCAGTTGAGCTATTCTTAGGTTACAGAAGTGTGTAATGAAACTTTGCTCCCTGGCTTTTAAGGGTTAAATACATTAATTCATTTTTTCAATCATTCTCAGCATATGGCATGTGACTATTTTATAGACATATATATATATATATATATATATATATATATATATATATATATATATATATATATATATATATATATATGCACTTTGTAGTTCTACAATTACAGACTGTAGTCCATCTGTTTCTCTGCATGCTTTGTTAGCCACCTTTTACCCTGTTCTTCAGTGGTCAGAACCCCCATGGACCCTCACAGATCAGGTACTATTTGGGTGGTGGATCGTTCTCAGCACTGCAATAACACTGATGTGGTGGTGGTGTGTTAGTGTGTGTTGCGCTGGTCTGAGTGGATCAGACACAGCAGTGCTGCTGGAGTTTTTAAACACCTCAGTGTCACTGCTGGACTGAGAATAGTCCACCAACCAAAAATATCCAGCCAACAGCGTCCTGTGAACAGCGTCCTGTGACCACTGATGAAGGACTAGAGGATGACCAACATAAACTGTGCAGCAGTAGATGAGCTATCGTCTCTGACTTTACATCTACAAGGTGGACTGACAAGGTAGGAGTGTCTAATAGAGTGGACAGTGAGTGTTTAAAAACTCCAGCAGCACTGCTGTGTCTGATCCACTCAGACCAGCGCAACGCACACACAGAGAAACAGAAGGACTACAGTCTGTAACTGTAGAACTACAAAGTGCACCTATATAGTAAGTGGAGCTGATAAAATGGACAATGAGCGTAGAAACAAGGGGGTGGTCATAATGTCATACCTGATCTGTGTATATATGTATGTGTATGTGTGTGTGTGTGTGTGTGTGTGTGTGTGTGTGTGTGTGTGTGTGTGTGTGTGTGTGTGAAATAAGCAGAGTGAACTGGATGTGCATCAGCAATTTGTCAGTTTTATGCGTATACGGTCATATCTTGACAAATTTTGGCATGACACATTCTTTTCGATATATATTATGCAAAAAAATAAAAAATCAAAAAGGCAAATAATTGTACATGATTTCACTGTGTCACACATATGCTGCTTAAAATTTCAGCAACTTTCCAAACACTTTCAAATTTGAAACACTTTCCAGAGTCCCTGCAAATGCACACAAAGCCTGACAGAGGGTGTTGTTATGCACTGATGTGGCCAGCAGGTGGCAGTTTTAACTGTCGCAATACAATGAAGTGAAATGAACTGCAGCACCGTGACTACACCATGCAATACCTCTACTTGCATACAATAATAAACTTACCTTAATGATCCTGTCCCCAGTCTGAACACCTGCACGCATGGCAGCGCCATCTATAGGTAGAGAAGAGACACAGAGAGATGAATCAGTCATGGATTTCATAATTACACACTTCTTTGCATCTCTTTCATTGGCAAAACTGCTTTTGTGAAAAACCATCACATAGTTGCAAAAAGGACCTGTACTTAAATGTGATGGAAAGGGACATCGTGTTCCAGTCAATTCCCACAGAGGGGTTGAGAGCAGGAGCGACTGAAAGCTCCACCCTGCAAAGACTGCTGATTATGGGATAACACTGAGAACAACATTACAGGGAGAAGCATTAGAGTGTGTCATTAAAGGGACACACACATACACACAATAATTCTCGCTCTCTGTCGCATCAGAAACACCACACTGTGTCAAACGCTAATCACGCTGATGCATGTAGAGTAACATCTGTATTATAACAGGAAATAAAATAAAACGTATAACAACAATCCCCACACTGCCCCTGCACATGTCCCCCTCCCACCCCAAAGTGGTTTCAAAGAGGCTGGGACAACAATCGATGCGACCCCGTGCTCCATGTGCCGTGTTACATAAAGGGAAAGTCTATTTATTGAATGGATTTGGAAAAAACGTGTTAGTATTGCTTGTCACGCCACAGATCACAACAGCTAAAGATCTTCCACTGAGCTCGATCGCTTCACTTCTCCTCCCACTGCGCGGGGCTTCCTCTGACTCCTCTAATTGGCAGTGCTCACAACATATCAGCTCCTGTGCTGACCTGCTGTCAAGCCACATCAGCCTCTAGCCCTCGAGCTGCCTGCTGCAGTGCTGAGGGTACAGCGCAATTCAGAGCGGCAAGAGCCGACAGAACAGCCAGCCCCTCATCCTATGCAGTGGGGGTGGGGAGAGGGGTGAAGAGCAAGAGAGAGATAGAGAGCGTTTACTTACCCTCTTTGACAAGTTGCACAAACACAGGGTTGTCTCCGCTCACGGTTAACCCAAAGCCATTCTCATCTTTCTGAATGATCACACATCTCTGAACCAGTCCTGAGAAAATATATATAGGAAAAAAGGGATGGGAGAAAGACAGAGGAAGAGAGACAGACAGGCATAGAAAAAAGAGTTTGACAATGATCAGTAAAATAAAGAAAAGCAGAAATTCAGAGAAAAAGATCAAGAGAAAGAAGAGACAAGAGTGAGAAAGATAAAATAGTGAGTGAAAGAGAAAGACAGATACAGAAGAGATAGAAATTGAGATAAAGGTAAAAAAAAAAAAGAGAGATTCAGACAGAGAGATAGAAAAAAGACAGACAAAAAGTGAGAGACACCAAGAGCGCAAGACAGAGAGAAAGACACATATGGAGAAAACAAGACAGAGAGAGCGAGACAGAGAGCGAGAGAGTGAGAGAGAGAGAGAGAGAGAGAGAGAGAGAGAAAGTCCAGATTGAGTGTAATCTGAAAAGCAGTCAGTGAGTTAGACAGTGATGAAGGATTGTGCATTAAAATATCTGAGAATCGAACTTCATACTGAGAAAGACTGATGGCAGGCTTCATCACAAGCCTGCTATGGCATATGCTTTCATCAGTGAATTATCGAACATGGTGTTTCAAACGCAAAGCTTTTCTGTAGTAAACAGAACTCAGGCCAGGGGCTAATTAACCAGGCTACAGCAATAAGAAGCATCAATGAACTGGAATAAATTGAAACAATGAGGAAATTGAAATTATACGTGTACACGAATTCACACGCACAAGCATAAAATCAGTGGCAAATAAAGACCCAATGACTGTGAATGAGAAATGAACACACTGATTTACGTTAATTAAAAACCAATTAGAAACATGCACCTCATCAAGAACTGCATAACAGAATCTATGAGCTGTTGGAATGCAGGCTAGCGAGGTCAGAATGTGCTTCTTCAGGATGTTATCTGGTGATACAATGATAACAGGTTTCAGATACACCACGTGTACTGCAATTTAAATAGCACTGAAACCAACCCAACACAGTTAAGTTTTTTTTGGGCAGGGTTTAAACTGGCACTAAGAAATTTAACATTTGTCTACATTGATCATCAGCACAATATAGGCTTTTGCAAGACTAATTACAGGGAGCTAAAATATGTCAATTGCAGTTTTGCATTCTGTGCTGTGAATATCCTGATCTCAGACATTCCAAAAAAAGCATTTTGTGATTCACAAGACCCAATAAAGAAATACTTTAGGCCAAAATAATTCTGCAGTCTTTAATCAGGTCACATGAAGGTGAGATTGCATTCAGAATGCAATAATTTAAACCGTACAGTTAATTGAAAATAGTACAAAGACAACATATCAAATGTTGAAACTGAGAATTTTTTTTTGTTTTTTGGAAATTATATGCCTATTTTGAATTTGATGCCAGCAACACATTCCAAAAAAACTGGGACAGGGTCATGTTTACCACTGTGTTGCGTCAGTTCTTCTTTTAACAACACTAAGTGTAACTGAGGAGACCAACTACTGTAGTTTTGAAAGTGAAATGTTTTCCCATTTCTTTTCTTTTTACAGTATAAATGCTGATTTAGTAACTGCTTTGAAATGACTTCTAAAACTGAGATCTGTGTCTATTAGTACACAAAGGAAACATGCTAGTTCTTTAGATTTTAGGTCCAAACATTTTATTCCTGAATAAAACAATCTGTTTTATGTTTGTTCAACTGCAGAAGGTTTTGTCTCACCCAGTTAGTGATGTGCTCAATGCACTTACAAAGTGAGTCAAGGGGACCACAGCTGTTTGGGAAAGGGGGCAAAGTAAAGTGTATCTGCATAGCTGTGGTAAGATATCCCACAGTCTTGTAGTATTTGGCTACTAATCAGACAAAGTAGTCCTTTCCTTGCAGGTATGAACAAAGGCGTTTTAGGATGTCAATAATAACCTTAATTAGAGCAGTCCCAGTACCACGACTATGACAAAATCCTGACTGAAATTTGTCTAGGCAGCTATTTAAGGACAGAAAGCCAGTGAGTTGCTTGAAGACAATTTTCTCAATCATTTTTCCAATTAAATTTAAGATTTAAATAGGTCTGTAATTACTCTGTTGCGCTCATACAACTGGATAAGACATAGCAGTGCTGCTGGAGACCTCAGTGTCACTGCTGGACTGAGAACAGTCCACCAACCAAAAATATCCAGCCAAAAGCATCCTGTTGGCAACGTCCTGTGACTAAATGATGACTAACATAAACTAAACAGCAACAGATGAGCTGCTGTCTGTTGTGACTTTACATCTACAAGGTGGAGCAACAAGCAGGTCTAGAGTGAACGGTGAGTGTTTAAAAAACTCCAGCAGCACTGCTGTGTCCAATCTACTCGTCCCAGCGCAACACACACTAACACACCACCACCCAAGTAATACCTGCTCTGTGGTGGTTCTGACCATTGAAGAACAGGGTAAAAGGGGGCAAACAAAGTATGCAGAGCGGTCTACAGTCTGGACTACAGTCTGTAAATGTATAACTACCAATTGAACCTATATAGTAAGTGGAGCTGATAAAATGGACAATCAGTGTAGATACAAGGATTTTGGTTTTAATGTTATGGCTGATCGATGTATTTTCACTTCAACAAAGCATGCAGTCTGACCAGGGGTGTTCAAACTTTTGCCTATGACTGTACAGAAACCCCAGCAAAAAAGCACAATCATGAGCAGTAGTAAATTTTTATTTGCACTACTTCAATTCAGCTGTACACATGCTGCATTGCCTACTGTGGCTGTTGTTAACCATATATGGATATTCGGGGGTGTTTCTTCATATAAATTAGCCAGTTCACGCACAAGCAGAGCAGCACATTTGACATGTGTCAGGAGCAGGTAAAGTGGAACACTAAAATGTGCAGAGGAGAGGGCACACAAGGTTTTTGGACTGAGAAACACAAGCCTAAACTATACTGTCCAACCCCTTTCTGTATGTAATACAAAAGTGACATACACAAATGTTGTGAAAAGATGAAAGCAGTATGAAAAAGAAAATAATTAAAAAGTGTAAATATAAAGCTCCTAATCCTCTTTATAAGCAATACAAGTACCAAGCTCCATGGCAAGGCAGAAAACCAGCTCTAAAGGTACTTGCAGCAGCTTTTCAAGGATCCATCTGGTTTGCTCCCATCTGGTTTGCTTTAAGGAGGAAGATTTTGTTTTTGAATTGAAGATTATTCAAAGCACTGAAAAATGTACACTGTTTATGTAGGATATTCATGAAGCGAAAAAGCAAAAGAAGTAATCACTGCAATTTGGCAGTTTGGCGCTTTGGAAGAGAATCTGAGGATTTGACACCAAATCACTCGGTATCAGGAGCACAGATGGGGATGTAACTAGGCTGTGTCCCAAGATGGATTGAGAAAAGATTCTGTTAGTCCTCATAGCGTAACTATCCAAGATAGTGCTTGAGCAACAATGAAAAATCGACGCAGTGGAAAAGAAAGGTGACATCAGTCATGTGAGGAAAAAAATCCTTTCTATTTCTGCCTTTAAAATCACAGTAAATCCTGGCCACCATGGAGAAAAGCCTGACAGTTTTAACTAGAGGTTTATGAGTAACTGAGGTGTAGTGTGAGTGCAGTGCATGCACAGGGCTGGCCTGCCAGACAGATACAGCTCTCAGTGGACAGCTTGGAGAGAGAGGACAGGTCACGAGACAGAGGAGCCCCAGCCCAGCAGAAGCAGAAAGATCTTACCACATGACTCGGGGGTTCCCTCGGCCACTGCACATCCACTCTTCTGTACCAGCGCTTCTTTCCCACCCCCCACGGAGCAACACAACACAAACAGCAGACAAAACAAAGACAAATGACAGGATGACAATGGTAAAAGAATGCAAATAAATAAAGAATGAGTGTGGCTGGTTTTTAAATCTCCTTCAACTGCATACTTTTTATTCTGTTATTATTTTAGTAGTTATTATTCAGCTAGGAATTATTTTACTATGAATTATTGTCTACTGTCTATCTACTATGAAACCACAGTGTAAGTTTTTAGTTTTGAGATTGAGGAATTAAAGTGTGAACCCACTTACAGGTTCTTAGAGACCTAAAGAGCCCACATCTTACATTTTTCTTTTATTTTTTCCCCTGAGATCCAATTATATAATGGTGGTTTTATGTACCAAAACTAGTCATAATCCATTCTTACATGACCATTTTCCAACCTCTTTTTATCTCTTACAATAAAACATGTTGTGTCTTTGAGACTTATACATATAAATATAAATTTACTGTGCCCTGGGCTGAAAGATTAATAAAATTTATTTTAAAATTGCAATTTGAAAAAAGTATTACGTGCTATCCTACAATCCTACTTAAGTGCTATGTCCAAGACCACACAACCAAAACTAACTGGCAGTAACTGGCAGCGTTTAAGCATGAAGCCAGAAAATGTTGATATGCTGGCCATGTGTTGATGATCTTGACCAACAACAGGACTTTAATTTATAAACAATTTAAATCCCTGTTACAATACTGGTCAGAAAAAAAAATCAACAATATTCTCCCCAAATCTTTCGGTCCTAACTGTGCCTCAATCAAAAAGCAATCCAGGCTGAAACACTGATTAAAATTTCAATGTTAACGGGCAGATATACTGTAAATAGGTTTTTGAGACATGGCAAAAACAACCCAAAATTAGTTTCCATGGACAGCATGAAATGGGAAGTGAACAGTATGTTTTGAAAGCGTAATAATGTTTACATACTACATCACTTCTTGTATTTCTCTCTGACAATCAATCCAACATGTGATAGAGAAGCTAAATTTTCAGTTAAGCTTTCTGAGCTACCACACCGTGGAGTATCCCATGGCAGTTATAGGTCATGTAAAAAAAAAATAAAAAACATGGGCATGAAGACTTGATCACTTCAATATAGATTTTTCTAGCCTCAGTTTTTCTCAAAAGCTGAAAAATAAGGCAATAACACAACTTCACTTAAAGATGATGGGGCTTCAATCTTGACATGCGTTGGCAATTACCAGCTACACGTCTACTGCCCGTGATGAAACAGCTCTTAATTAGTGCCTTTATTAATTAGTTATGCAGTCTCAAGTCTACCATCTAACCAACCTTGGACAGAAGTTCTTATCTTGAATACTAATTCAGCCAACACTCATCAGAATATATAATGAGAACAAATGAAGGCGCAATGGAAAACACATTGAACTTATGGTGGTTTAGATTCATGCCTCAGGAGAAGTGCAAACATGAGGAAAGAATTAGGATTGTGCAGGAGAAATGAGCACACACAATCTATTCTAAAGGTGTAGCAATTTTAAGATGCATCAAAAAACGGTGAACTGAAAATTAAAACAGTCTTCCTGACGCCCTTACGCCTCTTCCGAGGGTCTTTCATGTTTCTTACTTTGTGGAAACCACTGTCTACAAGGCATCTGGATGCATCCTATCAGAATAAAGTGTGATGGGAGGGATTTATGTTAGTATATAATTGTTTTTAACTTTAAAATAATATTTAACACATAAAATATCACAACTTGAATTGAATTTTGACCTTGGAAAAAAATATCAAACCTGAAAATATCCACGTCCTAAAGCACCTGCTGTACAGATTTACGACCATTAATATATGAACACAAGGCACTCAGGTACTTCCTGGTACTTTTGCTGTAAAGAAAAACGTATCATATCGAGACACTACCGTAACGTATGAAAGGCCTCTTTTCCACTTTAGGGCCAAAGGGCTCTGAGCACGGGGGGGTAACCAATACAGTGGAGTTTCTACATGGTTCGACACTGAACACTTAAAAGGGCTCAGTCTTAGCTAACCATACTCGGGGCGACAGAACTGTTCAGTGGGATGACGTAACGACGTAGCTATCGCAAGTATAAATGATAAACACTTACAACAGCAAGAGCAAAGTCGACTGATTGATGGTGGAGTGACAAAAAGCCAAAACAGGACCTGTTCTGTAGTGCTTTAAGCTGTCGTCTGCTGGGCTAAGCTAACGCGAATGCACGGTGCCTCCCACCGCAGTACGGGCTCGGTTCTGATTGAAAACACCTAGGGAGGGAAGGCTCCTAATCACAAGTGAAAGGTTATTGTTTAAAACAAGGGTTACCAATTTTATCCGCAAAGGGCCGGTGTGGCCAAGCCTTTATGCAAAAAAAGTATGACAAACCTGAGAAACTGAACTAGCGGACTCCTAAGGTGCAGCAATGCTAAAACATCTGTAGTTTTGTTGTGCAAGAACACTGCAATTATGGAGGTTATCCAAAGTATTTTAGAAAAATGAAAGTCAAAAATCCACACAGGCTTACTGGTGACATACTCTTTAAATTTGCAGATAATTACAAGTATGTTTTTTCTCATTCAGCCAAGGAGCTTGCAGCAATGCTCTGAACTGTGAAAAAGACATTTCAAAACTTTTAGGGGCCATTTAACATTAGCAGAACATTGCAACATTTCAAGTGCACCATTACTTAACAAGTTAGGCATCCGATTTAAGCCGTTTCAAGCAGTCATCGCTTTCATTTCTGTTTCAACAGTTTCAACACTGAGGTTTTAACATGTCTCTAATTGCAAAATTAGACATTTTCTAATAGCAAGATGACTTTCTTTTTCCATTACAAACAAAGAGAAGAAAAGTATGAAGGATGCTCTCATGGAAACTCTACTGACAGTTCAGAGTCATGAAAAGACTTCTGAGAATAGCTGGTCTTGCCCCTTTTCGCCTACACTTTCTCATTAACTGGTTGTTGATGACAGTCCTGCACGCAAAAGCTTTTTCTTCATCATTCAGTCTCTCACAATGTCAACCATATCGTAAAATATGATAGACCCACCATAATCACCACATGAAATGACCACTTGCACAAAACTTTCTTTCGCTTTTCTGCTTCCCAATAGTTGATGAAAAAAGGAGTTTCCTCCATCTGCAATAGTGCCTGCTCACTGCCAAAAACAGGGCCAGGAACATATGCATAGTTTATGGTCAGCAACTCTGAATCATAGGGCTGTTTGAGCCAGTTCCTCGGCAGCCACTGGATAAGCACAAGCTCACGTGTATGCCTTGCGCAGAGGAAAAGCGTTGCCATTGTAAGAGCTGAGTGTCAATGCGAGAAGCATAGAGCACTTCAGTTCCCTCAGAAACCACACGTGTTCTTCAGTAATTCATTAGGATGAGGAAAGAGAGTGACAAGCCAAAGAGAGAACAAATACCAAAATACAAACACACATATAGAAGTCCAAAAGAGGCCACCAGTGCAAATGCTTATATTTTGCATTCTTTTTCAGTTTAATACAACATGTCATTACAAATTACATTACCAGCATAACAATATGTGTGAAAAGTAGAATTTTTAAAATATGCACATGAATTTAAGAATTTCTAAGTATTTGGTGGCATTTCCCTGTTTTGTGTGCACTCAAGCTGGCGTGGGCTCCATAAGTTTGCGTAAAAGCCTCTGATGACCACATCAAATCCTCCTGAGAGTCGGAACACAAGCTTCAATGGAAGGGTCAAGATTCAAGAATCAGACCTTCTATTCAAAAGCCTCAAAACATGTTCAGTATCACAAATGTGCTTAAATTAGAATAAGTGACCTAAAAATAAAAAAAAAAATGCAGAATATTTGTTTTTTTTAAAAAGAAAAAAAAAGTAGCCTATATCTTATGAGCTAGTTTGAAGAACAAAGTTTGGTTACAGATTTTCCTGGGAGCCTCCAGCCATCACACAGATTTATTAAATTCCATCACCAGCATACTTGATTCAACATACTGAAGTATCGATTAGCCAAATCAGATGCTGGTTTAGAAATGGTTAAAAAATATATTTCCAGATAAATAGTTATTTAAATATAATTATCTCAGGTGCCTAAAGCTTTTGCAGAGTACTCAGTCTATACAGAGAGAGAGGGAGAGAGAGAGAAAGGAGGAGGGAGGGAGAGAGAGAGAGAAAAAGAGAGAGAGAGAGAGAGAGAGAGAGAGAGAGAGAGAGAGAGAGAGAGAGAGAGAGAGAGAGCGCGAGAGAGCGCGAGAGCGAACTTGTACCTGTAGAGTCAAATGTAGAGTCATGCACTGGAGGAATGGCAGGTTTGTCACTTTTGGGCCTCTTGTCAGGGGGATGGTCTCTGCTGAGAATACTACTGGTTCTGCAAACAGAGACAGGGTTGGGGGGGGTCAGAGGTCAGCTCACATACTAAAACAAAACAAAACAAAACAAAAAAAACAAAACAAAAACAAACACATAACTGGTGGAGCCTTGGCCCAAAAAAATAGGGGTGAGCAAGACACACAACCAAAGCAGCCAACCCTTGGAGTCTAAATGTGTGGAAGGGCACAGGGTGTGTGAAGTAAACAGAACACTGCCTCAATGTCCTTCCCAGCTAAACCCAGCCCAGCCCAGCCCAGCCCAGCCCAGCACCACTCTACCCTGTGCCTGCTTCCTAAGCCCTGTCTTAGACTTCTCCCTGCACAGCACGTTGTGTAAGAGTCTTCTGTTCTCCAGGGCAGTTACTGCAGAGATGGGCTACACAGCAAAAGAGGCCCTTTGTAGGTCTGGCTCACTGTGCCTCACTGTGGGCCACTGTTTGGCGCATGCTTGCTAACAGCCTGCCATGTGCTGCACCCAGCCTGCTGTTCTTCAGACAGTCTATGTCTCTAGAGATAACTCTGGTGGCAAAAACTGGTGTAAGTGTTTTGTTATAAGTGACTTGCTTACCTGTTTGCTTTTTTGGGAAATCTGTGAAAAGAAAAAAAAGGAGGTTAAAATAGATGTTCTATGAACAAACAAAGCAAGAAATCTAAGGCCCTTTATACAATCTGTTAAGCCCCCTTTGTATGATCCCACAGCTGCTTGGCTGAATACTCAAGCTTACTGCCTAATGAGTGCAACACAGACTCTTCAGTACTACAGCATGACTGTTATTCATATAAAGCTTGATAAGCCTGAGGCAGCTACCTCACACTGTGCAGATCCACAACAACTTTGTAGGGGATCACGCTGTTTGTCAGAAGGCTGAAAAACAGCAGGTGCCCTGTGTTACCCTGTCTTTCTTGGGGGTTCATGCTGCATTTTTTTGCAATAGCAAACATGTCAACAGAATTGTACCTGTCAGTCCTGCTAGTTGGTTAATGCTGTAGCATTGCTAGTTGTGATCTTGATATGTTCATGATCGTTTTGATTCATTTTGAAACCATCAAGTTCAGGGGAATTTGCCAACGACAACACCTAGTCTTGCCCCCATCTGTCACTACAGGCTCTTCTAACCATCATCTGATTGTTCAGCACAGAAGAATGCTTAACAGTGCCCCACCCAGGGTGCATGAAACACAAGATGCCTCTTAGGCAAAACACAAGCAAAATGCATTTACGCATCTCTCTCTCGAAAAACAACTTAAAAACGGTCTCTAGGTTTGCAAAAATATACAATGTGATCTTTTACCTCAATCACTGTAAAGCCCTATTTTGGATTAGCTTATTAGGTAGATAGGTAGATAGACAGATAGACAGACAGATAGATAAAAGTTTGACACTCCACTCGGTGATAGAACTCTCGCATCCTGAGGGCAATAAAATTGCCACAGGAAGAGCTTGTATCTAGTGGGTTAAAATGTATTTCATCAGAATTTCAGAATATTTATCTTTAAGAAAGTGACAGACATACGATCTAAAATCTGAGATAATTTTATTTTTAGAAAACTTTCTGAAAAAACATTAAATATCAAAATGTGGCAGAGGTTGTACCATCTGATCATGTGCAGATGTGCACATGTACCGTGCCTTCAACTGGCTCAAGAAAACATTTTTAAAGCAAAGTACTTTAGATGCTCTAATAATTATGTAACAAGTAAGTAATTACTTTTCAAAACAACTATTTCATAGTTTTTCGTAACCATTTATTTACACATTTATCATCACCTGAAAATACAATTATATGTAAAATGTAATTAAATTACATGATACTGTGTCAGTATAGTGGTTAACAGTGAACATGCTCACTGTAGTATGAGTAGGTAACACAATACAACTACAACAAACAATTTTTTTGTCTAATCGCTAATATAGCCAACTACCGAGCCTGCAGCCTAAACTGAGCAGCAACTAGAACTAGACTGAAGCATGCTGATTACGTGCAACGTTACTAGTGGTCCAAATAAAAAACGAGTCATGGGGGTTGCATCTTACAACCATAATCTGTTGATTACACTCATAAACTCTCATATTTAGTCAGAGCTATGTTGTATGTTAGCCTATAGTATGTGTGCTTCATACCTGTAACGTTACATCTCAAGAAGTCAAAGTTGCTCTGTGTAGCGTTAGCATGGCGGCCCGTACAGAGATAAACGCAGTGGGCGGTTTAGTTTACGGCTCTTGTCTACCTTAGTGGCCTCATAGCAAGTTACAGCCATGCTTATACTGCTGTTCCAGTTTTGGCGGCGTCTTTCCCAATGCACTGTGTTGAATACGATAGAGGGCCTCACATGGCAGTTACAAATGACAAATCCACCGAGTGCAACACGTGTTAGAAAATAACGTTTTGCATAAAGAGACCTGTTAGTGTTTTGTCAAAAGCTGTAGGCAACAAGAAAACTGACAGAGGCAGACGCCTCGTAATTCTCTAATAGGGAAAAACCCTGTTTATACCTATAGCTGCCATTATGATCGCCCCTTTAATGAGCCTGTGGGATCTTGCTTATGTCACTGATTTTCTTTCTCCTGATAATTCTCTCCCAGGTAGAACATGAAGTCAAACTTTTATCACTCAGACTAAATAAATGATTGGGTATTCTTCAAAAGCATCCATTTTTCATTACATGAGAGTTTATGAGGGTAATTAACAGATTATGGTTGTAAACACCTGGGGAAATGTCTTTGATACACACTGAAGAAGACCAATGACAGCAAGAAGCAGCAGTCAGAGGTGACAAAGCCTGCCCTGGAGTGTGTGCTTTTGTGACAGCTTTTTCCCTTTGGTTCAGCTAGTTTTACACATAGTGTATGAAATATTGCAAGGAAATGTTCTTTGATTGGTCAGGAATTTGGCAGGGATAACAGCACTGTTACTCTCACGTTTGTCTCCATTAAATGAAGTACTACTAATTTTAACTTTCAAACAGTATAGATCCATATCTCATTTATATTCTTGATAAAATGTATTATCATACATATTATGGTGCTCAATGTCTACCTATTTGACAATCAGAGTAATGAAAATAAACCTTACGTGGTCACCATTTCTTTATGATTTGGTTTAATCATGGTTTAATTACGTTTAATTTTACGCAAAATAATTTTAATGCAACCAATCACCTTGCCCACGCTGGTCCCACCTATCAAATATACCTTCTGAAGTTATTAAAATGTTTTAAATTTGGCTGACTGTACAGCGCTAATGTGCTGCTACAAGGCGAGAAATGCATGCTCTACTGTTGAATTCCCTTGTTTGGTGCGGACCATAAAAACACATTTCCACCAGCAGCAAACTAACCCACGGTTTGCTTGGAAGTGAGACCTGCGTTTTTTGGTGGAGTGTTTGACACCTGTCAAAACAGACTGAACTAAAGTAAAAATTCAATTGGCCAGCACCAAACAAGGCAGGTGTGAAAGTGGCCTTATACTGCTCATGTCCCCTCAAAACCTTTGCAAATATGAACCATGCTGTTATCATGAAATATTGAGCAGGAATGCCTGGAAACCTTAGAAAACAAAGGCATAGTAGGAGAGCTAATGGTCTCCAAATTGACTGAGCTGTGCGGTCATCCATTATTAAGCGATCCTGACCAGAGATTTTTTTTTTCCCCCTCAAAGTTAACCTAGCAAGCCATGACAAGTCACTTTAGGACAGTCTGCTCTGCTGACTCAGACTTCAAATAGAACTTCCTAACAGTAAATAAGCTACGCTACCAGCGGCACCCTGGACAGATATCAGAAAGGACAACCGTGGACCAAGTACTTCCAAGGAACATTATTCCATTATTCAGTGGAACTTTCCAGAATTCATTAATATCAGCTCCTGCATGGCAATAACACAGGAAAATGAAAAGTAAAAAATGAAAAACAAAAATGAGCACCTTAAAAACAATAGTCAAACTTTAGCCAGAGGGTGAGAGCTTGTCCCAGACAGTATTCTAACCAGCACCAGTGCCTTCACTGGTGACACAGAATCCCTTTGAGAGTGGTCAGAAGGAGCTGAATGGGCCATTTATGAGTGTGCATGTAATAAGTTCCATGGTGTGTTCCTCTGAAGCCTGAAGCTACAGAGCACAAATGGAAAAGTAAGCACAAGCAAGCTGCGGCGCTAATAATCATACATTTTACGTCTGTTATTCTCTTCCCTCTGAATCATATATGGTGACGGGGCACATTTGAGGGAAGAACTTGGGTTAGCAAAACGCCGGCCATGATAAGTCTTTGACGTGACATAATTTTGTGAAACACCAGGAGACAAAAGCAAACGGACAGCAGCAACAGTTTTTGGGCTGTCTCAATTACTCGACTGAAAAAAAAAAACAAATTACAAGTTACATTCTCAATGAATCATCTTGGTAAATTTGATGTTAAGACACTCAAGTCTTATTTGGGCGCACCACTGAAAAAAGAAACCCACAGCAGCAGCATCTCACCAATGCACACATATCTTTGACTAGTCAAGTTTGTAGTCATAATTCTCATTAAATGTTTGCTGTTAGAAATTGCATGTGTATGAAGTAAAAGTTTTTATCTAACTAAATCTAGGCTGAACCACTCAGTAGACAGCTAACAGGATAAAAGGCTACCCCAATTATACATAGAGTAATGTTTTACTGAAGAAAAAACTACAACATATAAAGATCATGCAATGTGAATATCTGCTACAGGCTTTAAATGCTTTAAATTTCTGTGTTTAAGTAGAGCTGGCATGAGTAGCATTAAATTCAGTGAGAGAAGTGAATGTACACTACTGTTAGCTCATGGCTAACACAACACTGAAATTTCCCACAAATAAACTACTGACATGTTCAGTGCGTTCAGTGTTTTTGGGCCCGATACCAATCGCTGACAGCCAATACAAATCAAGGCTGGGGCTGGACTGTTAAGGGCTATTCAAACCAAGTATGATTTTTTTGGACAAAAAAAAACAGATGCGATTTTAACATAGAGGGACATCTAAACCAAGTCCAAAGCGTTTTTCTGTCTAAACACTCTAAAAACTAAACGGAACATATACTGGGTACTGGGTCTACAAAAAAGACAACACGGGGGAGACTCACCACCTCTCACAAGAGCGAGCTGAAGCTGAATGATGAGCGATTATGAGGACATAGTATATGTCCTGCAGAATATATACATATTCTGGTGTATTTACTGTACACGCTTAAAAAAGATGGTTCCTCAAGGGTTCTATAGTTCATGGTAACACTTGCAGAACCCTCTGTATGATTAAAGAGTTCTTTTTGAAAGCGTTCATCAGAATAATGGAGAATATGTTTTGTATGGTTCTATACAGAACCCTTTTTGGTGCTATATAGAATCCTTTTCAAAAAAGGTTCTATATACAACTATCTAAAGCACATTCTCATTCAATGTGAAGAACCATTTCACAATGTAAAAACTCTTTAATCATGCAATGGTTCTTTATAGAACCATTTTCTTTACTAAAGAACCCTTGATGAACCATCTTTTAAGAGTGATATTCTGAACTTGTGGGGCCTGAAGAACGACATTTTGCTCCAACGTATACAAGCATAACAGTTTCCAGC